GGATGCAAATGAACTCTCTGACCTGGAAGAGGAAGCTTTAGAGCAGCTTCTCATATTTGTTTTCAGATATTTAGATTAAATCTCTTTCTCTGCCTTGACTGAAATTAAGCTTCTCATTGAAATAGATGAGTAAAAAGATTCAGTTCAGTGTTATGTCATTTCAGTTTGATCCAGTGCTGACAGTTTACTTTTGATAACATAATTTTTAAGTTTTTTATTTTCAAACAGATAAAACTGTAATTCTGAAAATAATGGGTTTTAATTAATGAAAAATGCTATACAGATTGAAAAATATTTATTATTTGTTGTTTGTGTAAATTAGTCACTGGTAGTACAGCACTGTGATTTAAAAATTATATTTTTCCTCTGATGCAATACATGTTGAGAGTAATATCCTAGTATACCAGAAGTTAGCCACACACGGATGTTGTTATGTTCAGATTCCTGAAGAGGTCTACCTTAATGTTATGAGGGTCTAAAAATCAATCTGAAATCACTGCTGAGTGGATCAACATTGTTTTCTCATTTTCTTGGGTGAACCTAAATAGGAATAATTGGAGACAAGCAGCTAATCCATTCTGCTGATGGATTAGCAGAAGTGTTTCCTTTCTGGTAACCATAAGTATGTTTCATAACAGTGTTCTATAACTGTTATTCACCGACAGCTTCCATGTGTTTGCTGCCAGAGAAATCCTTCCCCTTAACCCTCCAACAAATTGCACCACCTCAACATTTTCACCAGTACTTTGCTTAAACATGTATCTGCTAACGAAAATACAACATGTATACTCTATGCAAACCGATTTTAAATGTTTTAGGAGACGAAATGTGTAGAAAAACCGCCGATCAGCGCACAAAATCACAGAGTATCTGACAGGTCTGAAGGGTGCTGGGAAGAAAATACAAAGTTCTGGAAACCAAATACAACGGTACTACATAGAGAGGAGGGTTTTGCTTCTGTTATAGGAACATTTAAGTTATAAGAGCTTTATTTAGTTAGGATTTTAAGCGTAAAATGAAGCCGAGAAAACACAAGTGTGGCCATGTTTGAGGCGGCAGCGTAGCGGCGGGCTGAGTTGTCTCTTCACGGTTCTCACGTCTGTTATAAGTCCCGCCTCCCGCTCTAAGCTTGACATAAGAGATATCAACTCAGAAACATGACGGAAGTAGCTCCGGCGGCTGTCAGATCCTCGGCAAAACTCTCGATGAAGAAGTCCGCTTCGCGGACCAGGAAGGATGGACCCAGCATCTCCAAACTCATCGTGGATGCCGTGGCTGATTCCAAGGAACGTAAAGGGGTTTCTTTGGCGGCGCTCAAGAAACTCCTGGCCAGGAATGGCGTCGACGTGACGAAGTCCAACAAGCGCATCAACAGCGCTATTACCAAGCTGGTGACAGGTGGAAGCCTGAGCCGCACTAGAGGGACCGGAGCATCCGGGTCCTTCAAGATAGCTAAACCTAAGGCTAGAAAGAAGAAGCCCAAACCCGCAAAACCAGTGAAGAAGGCAACTCCGAAGAAGAAGAAGAAGGCTCCCGCCAAGGCAAAGAGACCAGCCGCTAAGAAGTCACCGAAAAAGTCACCGGCGAAGAAACCAGCCAGGAAGTCTCCGAAGAAGGGACCGGCAAAGAAAGCAGCCAAAAGGGTAAAAAGGAGCCCTAGAAAGACCACCAAAAAGAGCCCCAAAAAGAGTCCCAAAAAGGCCACAGCTAGGAGGCCGAAGCCGGCTAAGAGACCGGCAGCCAAGAGAAGCCCGGCAAAAAAGCGCCCAGCTAAGAAGGCTAAGAGGAGCTACTGGTAAACACCTGCTTCACCCACTGCGCAAAGCACCAAAGGCTCTTTTAAGAGCCACCACTCCTTCAGCTGAAGAAACGGTTCCTAACAAGCATATAATCAGTTACCTTAAAAATAGAATATATTTTCTGACAGCGATTTATTAAATAAAAGACGGTTTAAAACAATATTCTGGATAGGTAGTGAAATTAGGACAACATTTGTTAGATTAGCTCAGATTCTTTGTTGCCAACCAGTAATTGTTGAATTGTATCACTGAATATTCTCATGACGACCGGAGATTAATCCGTATGAAAAACCTTATAAAAGGATTATCAGTCAACAACAGCCACTCTACTGCGCATGTCACATTCAGAATGCAGGCAAGAATATATTATGTTTACAGTAAGGCTAATAAAATAATTTCCAACTCGACGCCAGCGCAGGGCTTCACTCCGTGCAGCTCCGTCAAGCAGCTTTGCGGTATTTGTATTTTTAGCACATCGTCTCTGTACCTCACACTGCCTTTTGTTAAACCCGCTGCACTTTTGAAGGCTTGGTTTGTCAGCTGCCTGGATGGATTCAGCTACATTTTAATTTTCCCTCTAACTGTGACCAAATTAGAAAGAAATGATTTGCACGCTAAATATAAGTTTCAATTTTTTTAAAAATAAAAACTTAGTTTTTATGAAAAAAGTAAGTTGCTCTTATTGCTCACCATGTATATGTTCGTCTTATTTAGAGGGACTTCACTGAGAGCTTATTGTGAACAATTTGCTTTAATATTTGCTAGTAAGTAAAAGTTTGGTCCATTTTCTCTCGTCTATTTATCGACTCTCCTGAATTTTATGTTTACTGGTCATTAAGCCGCATCTCATTCACTAAATTTAATTTGGTAGAATAACTTATTTTATCACATTGTGTGTGATTAACAGTTGTAGTACGCCGATAGCAAGTTAGCTAATATTAAAACCGCAAGATAAATGCGGGTAACCATGGCAACTACTGAGCGTTTAAAGGCCGGCCGGCTCTTACAGGCCAGTTGCGAAATAATAATAATAATAATCCATCTTTACTAAACTACATTTACATTTTGGGTGTTCCATCCCTAATCAGGACAGCTAAGTGATTAAATCCATCTGAATATTTACATCCTCAAATAGTTACATTTACATTTACATTACATCTAGATGCCTCATTAAACCAAAATAAGATACCACCCTGGTGGCAGATTTGAGGTCACATTAAACTTATAATACAAGAGTTTAATCAAAGGTAGCAGAACATCCATCCATTTTCTGAACACCCTTGTCCCTCAGTGGGGTCGGGAGGGGTGCTGGTGCCTATCTCCAGCTAACGTTCCGGGCGAGAGGCAGGGTACATCCTGGACAGGTCGCCAGTCTGTCGCAGGGCAACACAGACACACAACCATGCGCACACACACCTAGGGGCAATTTAGACAGACCAATTAACCTAACAGTCATGTTTTTTGGACTGTGGGAGGAAACCGGAGTACCCGGAGAAAACCCACGCATGCACAGGGAGAACATGCAAACTCCATGCAGAAAGACCGGGGCTGGGAATCTTGCTGCACGGCAACAGCTCTACCAACTGCGCCACTGTGCAGCCCCTGATTTTGCCATATTTAACATATTATTCAGAAGTGTGAGAAATTAATTAAAAAAGCTCTTTGCATCCACTAAGTATCTTACAGAAACGAGCCGTTAGAATCATCCATAATGTTGGTATTTATGAGCACACAAACCCATTATTATTAAAATCTAGATTTCTTAAATTTGAAGATCTGGTGGAATTTAAAATTGCTCAAATTATGTTTAAGGCATCTAATAAACTGCTACCTGAGATCATGCAGAGCATGTCTTATGAAAGAGAAAGGGGATATAACTTAAACTCAAACTTAAGGATTTGTAGTACACACACAAGAAAGAACTTTTGTATTTCAATTCAAGGGGTAAAATTATAGAAGTTTAATGAGGAGTTAAAGTCAAAATAGTGTAATTCATAAGGAAATATAAGGAGGTCATTTTCACAAGATATAGAAAGACGGGTGAGAGAACTAATGTGTTCATGTAAACACGTTACATGAACATGAGTGTGTGGGTATGGATATATACCCACACACACACCCACACACACATATATATGGATGGTTTACCTGCCTATTTTTAGGCAGGTAAACCAAGATAAGATGGAAAACTAATTAACATGTCATTTTCTATTTTTTTAATGAGACTCAATCTAAAAATATTGTACTAGTTTATGGTGTAGGAGTTCGGTTTCTAACTTCTTCGTACTTCTTTTCATGTATGTTGAGATTATTGAACAAAAATATGTATTTTGCATTCCTTGTTTATGTGTGATTTCATACTTCTGTCGTGTTTAAAATAATCAGCACAGACCACAAAAGTATTGATATCCAAAGTATTATTCATAATTCAGTTTGAGATGAGAACATTTTTCAAAGTTTACAAACCTTCAAAACTATACAGAAAAAAAGATGTTTAAAGAAAATTACTACAAAATAAATTAGTTCTGCAAACAATAAATCATGTGAATCTGAAAGTCAAATATTAAAATCAAAACTAAAATATCAAATTTTGCAGAAAACATTCAAACCAAACTATTTGAATTAGTTGAAATTAATTTTGTTTCTAGATTTAGATGTTTGAAGTTAAGAAAACCTGGGTTGACAAGGGAAGTGCACCAAGTACTCTAGAATAGGTTTTATGGATACCAATGTAGTAATTCCCTTTTACATGAACATTTGAGAAATTAATAATTAACGTACAAGTTTCTTGCGCTTAGTTGTATTTGTGTGGCCCTAAAAAGGGCCTTTGTGGTTTAGATGGTAAACAGCGGGTTTACTTGGAGCTGGTGTACTTGGTAACCGCCTTGGTGCCCTCGGACACGGCGTGCTTGGCCAGCTCTCCGGGAAGCAGGAGGCGCACGGCCGTCTGGATCTCCCTGTATGTGATGGTGGAGCTCTTGTTGTAGTGAGCCAGGCGGGAAGCCTCGGAGGCGATGCGCTCAAAGATGTCGTTGACGAACGAGTTCATGATGCTCATGGCCTTGGACGAGATACCGGTGTCGGGGTGGACCTGCTTCAGCACCTTGTACACGTAGATGGCGTAGCTCTCCTTCCTGGTCTTTCTCCTCTTCTTGCCTCCTTTGCCGGTCGTCTTAGTGACGGCTTTCTTGGAGCCCTTCTTGGGCGCAGACTTGGCGGGTTCAGGCATCCTGATGTGTTCCTGGGAAACAGCAACAAATGAGGAAGCGCGAGCAGAGATTAGTATTATAGATTCTGTATGTAAATTAGACTGCCCTGATGCCTGCCTCTGATTGGTTCAGCTGCTCAGAGTGTTAGAATGTCTTTAGGATTTGTTCGTGCGTCCAAGTGCTTGAATAGTGTAAAATAAGAATAAATGTTTTTCGAAGTTTATTATGTAGCTCTGCTTTTATGTGTTCCTTCAGGTGTTTTATAAACCTGTACGTTATGCTTAGTAATTAATATTTCCATAACACTTTTAAATCAAATTACTTATTAAAATTAAATTAAGCTTAAATCACTTTCTTTCAAAGGGAAACAATATCACGAATAATTTGCATACTCCAAATACAATCTTTATTGGAGTTGCCCATGACTCATCTTCCTTTAATTATTCAGGAGAGGATGTTTCTACTTTATGTATTGAGATTGACTTAAAATGTCAAGATTTAAGGTAGATGACGGGAACTGCCATACTTTTACATGCTCGCATGGACTGTTGTGTTTCCTTAGTTTCTTATTCACGCTTAGAAAGCACTTATTTCCGCTGTTGTGCATTCTAATTTTTCAGTTCTACAAATAAATCCTTCATTAACAACGTACTTATTCCATCTTTTCACAGGACGCATCGTACAAACTCAGGAACCGTCTCTTGAGAAGTGTGGGTGGCTCTGAAAAGAGCCGTTGATATGTAGCCAAGCGCCAGTGGATTTAACCGCCGAAGCCGTACAGAGTGCGGCCCTGCCTCTTGAGAGCGTACACCACATCCATGGCGGTCACGGTCTTCCTCTTAGCGTGCTCGGTGTAGGTGACGGCATCACGGATGACGTTCTCCAGGAAGACCTTGAGCACACCGCGGGTCTCCTCGTAGATGAGACCGGAGATACGCTTGACTCCACCGCGGCGAGCCAGGCGGCGTATAGCGGGCTTGGTGATTCCCTGGATGTTATCACGGAGGACTTTACGGTGACGCTTGGCGCCCCCCTTTCCGAGTCCTTTACCTCCTTTTCCGCGACCACTCATTGTGTTATCAACTATAAATCAGCTTCAGCACTAACTGAAAGTCTCTGTAGGATCTTTATTTAAACACATATCACGGACGTAAGTGAAGACAGGCACTCGCGAACTTTCGACTTCCGCCTTTCAGTCCGTAAACGGAAACAGGAACCATTTCAGTTTACTGGACAATATTTCGAAATAGATATATTTTTTAAACCGGACATGGCAAGGACTATTGTAATTAAAATGAACATAAATTAAGTTTCTTATTTCGGGAACAAACACACAAAGTTAGATATTTGTAAATGTGACATGTTGCAATTTATATTTATATACTTTTGCATTTTGAAAGAAACAAAAAAAAACACGTATTTAATTTGGATTTCCAGAAGTGGGAATTTATTGACCCAAACCACAGACTGAAAATATAGCCAACACTTATAAGGCTTTCAAATTACATTAACCTGACCAGGTAAAGATTAATTCAGAACCCCACACTTAAAGTGATCCATTTGCTTATTTTTATACATGTTGATGTGTCTGAACAGAAGTCCATTAGCTTCCCCATAATGGCTGTTACTTTTAAACACATTTTGCCACCCACATTCTTTTCAGACATTACACATGCATTTTATTTTTTTTTATAAATACCTTAACATTTTCCTTATTCATGTTTAATTTCTTTCTTTAATTGATAAAAATTGTGACTTCACACTTAAAATACACCTAGAGTACTT